TCATGAGTTCAGCTCATGAAAAATGGGGGCAAAAACAAAAGTGTTGCGTTTATAATTTTGTTCAGTGTATATACTGACCCCAAGCTTTTGAACGATAATATACCCGTTTGACTTCATGAAAAAATAAAAAAATATATAGGTGTGATATAAAGACAACAAATGACAAACTTAGTGAATAATATTTAAGTAAGGGCAAATGTAGTAATAATAATACCCAAATTATAATAATAAGCAAATAATAATACCAAATTTGACATTATTTTCTGGACTTGATGTTCCTGGATACGCTGTAGTACAAATTGAGCTGACAAAAGCTAAACCCGTCATGGAAATGTCAAAAATAGCACAAATTCTTGTGTTAGCATGCTTAATGCAGAGCAACTCAAAACCTCTGCAGTAGTGATAATGTCCTGTTGTGACAAAAGTCTGATTTTGATTCATTATTTCTTCTCAGAGTGGGAAAAAAACTGTCAAGGCAGTGCTTTGGGTGTCTGCCGATGGCCTGAGAGTAGTGGACGACAAAACCAAGGTAAGTTTGTATAGGCATTTTGCTGTGTGTCCATTGAAAGCCATTAATCGACGGTAAAAAAAAATAAAAAGTCTTTGAAGCCCCGAAAAGCTCCCAAGCCATTAATTAACCAAGTTTATCAGCAAAGAGAAAAGATCTGTAGGAAACACAAAACATGCTGTAGGAGGAAGCTGGCAGGCCTCCAAAAGACCCGTCACATGACCATCCCGCTTCATGAGACATCACTTAGACCGTCTCAGACACTAGATGACTTTTAAGGCCAAGGGTTCCCGTGTCTCTCACAGTTGGGTTTTTCTTTTCAAAGTTCGGGGATTAATATAACATCCTTCCCTCAGACAAAACCCGGAAAGTTAACCAGAAAAGGTCAAAGGTCACACATAATGAGTTCAATCATCCCCCGTTCCTTCTTTTCAGCTCACACAGTAAAAGGCGGAAGGCCACAAAGCTTTCTTTTTTTGTTTTTCGTAAGGGCCTCAGACTCAGTCGTTCACTCACTATGCGCTTCTGGTAATCCTCCCGTATGCATATGAGTCAGCAGTACCACCTAATCCTTCCTGTCCTGCATTCTCCTCTAATTCTCCTCTCTCCTCTCTCTTGTTAAACTTCACTTGTCAATATATTAATAATAATAAAAGGCAGTGCTCAACACTAAAGATTTTTTCTACTGGCCCACTTGGACTAGTGGTCTAAATTTTTCCTTGCTCTGCCAAAATCTTCAATAGCCCCGCAACAAAAATTAATACATAAATAATAGTTAATGTTTTCATTGTTTTTGACCATGTAACCCTGTATTCTAATAAATAAGGTTATTATGACACCAACATTTTCACAATTCTACATTCCAAATTTGAAACCAAAAACTACTAGCCTATTATAACATTATTATATTAAAATGCTTTAATAATGTTATATCATAACATTAATAAAGACAAATGAACAGTCAGTAATAAATTAAGTACAAATAAATACAATAGAATAAAGACACAAATGAAATAAACAGTATTTTTCAGGTACAGAAATTGAATAATCAAATGTAAAATAACACTGGATAGTCTTCACTGTACATATTAAATAGATTAAAGGAAAAGTTCACCCAAAACTGAAAATTTGTTGAAAATGTACTCATCCTTAGGTCATCCAAGGTGTAGATGAGTTTGTTTGTTCATCAGAACAAATCTGGATTAGCATTACATCACTTGCTCACCAATGGTTTCTCTGCAGTGAATGGGTGCCGTCAGAATGAGAGTCCAAACAGCTGATAAAAACATCACAATAATCCACACGACTCCAGTCCATCAATTAACATCTTATGAAAAGCTGCATGCTTATAAAGAACAAATTCATCATTAAGAAATGTTAACTTTAAACCGTCACTTCTGGCCAAAATGTGAGTCCATAATCCTTAATGACACTTCCTCCAGTGAAAAAGTTGTTCTCTCATACCAACATCATTTTTTACAACTGCTATAGACTGTTTTCACTTGTAAATGGTGCTTGATCTGTGCATATTTCTCTTCTGATTAAGACAAGACAAGTTTTTCACTGGAGAAAGCAATATTATAGATAGCTGGAAGCAATTATTGTTTGGTTAATATTAATGGCACAGACAGCAGGGGCATATTAGGCTGCTGTCACTTTAAGACCTAATGCACAGATCCAATATACTGATACACATCCAATTTCTTTCTCAGATGTTCATGTTCATTTAAGACGTAACCAACTGTGTTTATGAGGATACTCGCCAAGATGGATATTTTGTCATAATTTTGTGTGTATTTCAAGCACAATACGATGCAAAAGAGAACTTATTTTCTCATATTGCGCAAGTACCAAGTACGTCTCTTTGCGCTTGATGGTTTCAATGTTTCAATTGCCAAAACACATGCAAATGATAAACTTTCTTGTATTCCTTCAACTGTCCTGGGCATCTACTTACTGTCAAGCCCTAAAAGTGTTATTGATTACAAGACCAGACTGTCTTATGACAACTGAGATGAGTCAGCAGTCTCCAAAAAGAACACAATCACCCATGACGAAGCTTTTAGAGCTCTAACCGGGTCCCCTCGGTCAGTAATTGGCTAACAATGAATGGGCCCCTCACCTCGACCCAGTCTTCCTCTGCTTTACCTCTCACCTACCTACCCCTTCTACAGTGTTCAGCTCATTCATTATGTATTTACTTTGGCCCCCTAAAAAGGAAACACTAGCCACTGTTACAGTGGGAGGTCCAGGCTACACAAACAGCTTTAGTCATGTTAGAAGAATCAAAAGGACAAACCGGTATAATGTGGTTGGGTCATGGACAAATAAGAATAAAGAAGAATCTAGTTTAAAATGTGGCTTTCTGGTTCCTGGGATGTAATTTAAAATTGGTATGCATGTTGGTTTCATGTTTTTGAAACACTATTATGCCATATGCATCAAATCCAGGGATTTAATAACAATTTATAATATTTTAATACATGTATGTTTTAATAATACACTACCATTTAAAAGTTTGGGGTAAGACTTTTTAAATACTTCAGTGCTTTTAAAAATATTTTTTTCTATTCTTTCTAGTTATTTTGAAAGCTGTTCTTCTGAACTTTCTATTCTACAAAAATATTTAGCAACAAAACTGTTTTCAACATTGATAATAATAAGAACTGTTTCTTGAGCAGCAAATCAGCGTATTAGAATAATTTCTGAAGGATCATGTGACTCTGAAGACTGGTGTAATGATGCTGAAAATTCAGCTTTGCATCACAGGAATAAATTACATTTTAAAATATATTCAAACAGAAACAGTTCTTTTAAATTGTAATAATACTTCACAATATTACTGTTTTTACTGTATTTTTGACCAAATAAATGTATATTGGTGAGTATTAGAGAAATAAATAACAGACACTAAACTTTTGTGGTGGTGTCAATTATAAAGAAAAAAAAAAGTTTTTTAATACATATAAGTGCACATCATCTTAATAATTATTTGTAATTATTTTCTTTTAAATATTTTCATGAATGAATTATGATATTTTCTTGGGTTTATATTATTTGATAACTTGAAATGACCTTGCCTTGTCATGAAAATAATGTTTAAACAAAGCCTTTTGAAATGTTAGGGTATTTCCTCAGGACTTTTTTCTACATCACAATCTCAGGACAATTAAACAGCTTTTTTATATTATGCACCACAAAAATATAAAAATTGACTTAAAAATTAGAAATTGGAAACTTGTTCATCATATAAGAGATGTATTAAGGTCATTGTCTCTATGACTTGCATTGTACGTATTTTTTTTTACCCAATATAATAATATAAAACCCAATACAATAATACATTCTTGACTAAATATTGACTAAATACAACTAAACACAAAAACAGTGTCTTGTTACTGACACAAAGCGCTTTCAAAATACATTACTTACTTTTTATTTGTATTTTAAAGCTTTATTTGCTACAACCAACAACCGATCTGCCCCTTTTTTATTTTCTCTGTAGGACCTCATTGTTGACCAGACCATTGAGAAGGTGTCCTTCTGCGCACCTGACCGTAATTATGATAAGGCATTCTCCTACATCTGTCGTGATGGAACGACTCGCCGCTGGATGTGCCACTGCTTCATGGCCTTGAAGGACTCGGTGAGGAGAACCCAGCGGGGATTAATTCTTCAGACTCTATTCCTCGCAAAGTGGGATTAAGATAGGGATTATGGCAGTGTTATCTCAACCGGAATAAACGCTTAGAGACTGTTATCTGCACTTGGGGCACAGTTAAAAACACATTAAGGACTAGAATGAAATGGAATTTTGATTAGGATCCCAATACTAGTCTAGATAAAAACAACATTTTGTGACCATACAATGTTTTTGTCTGTCCCATAACAGCAATAGCAAAACAATGTATGCAAACACAGACTAACCGAGCTACTCATAAATACTGACTATATAATTATATAGTCAGTATATAATAATTTTATTATAATTTTTTTGTATCTTTCATTCTCCATTAAAAATATCAAAACATCCTTAAAACATGATACATTTACTTATAAAGTAAAATGGTAATTCTTGTTTTTGTTTCTTGAATTAAGTTTTTTTATTGTTTTAAGCATAAATCTACATGTTTATCTATCTATCTATCTATACATACATAAATACAGTGGGTATAGAAAATAATCACCCCCTTTAAAATAATCACTTTTTGTTGCTTTGTAGCTTGAAATGAAGACGGACACAGTTTTGGTTTTATCCAGCTGTATTTACTCGGTGCAACTTATAAGATCCAAGTGAAAGATATAACACCAACTGAAAAAAAAAAACAGAATCACTGAGTTGGAAAAAGGATCACCCCCTTGTTTCAGTATTTTGTTGAACCACCTTTTGCTTTAATTACAGCCTTTAGTCTGTTGGGATTTGTCTCTATTAACTTTGCACATCTAGACTTTGCAATATTTGCCCACTCTTCTTTGCAGAACTGCTCAAGTTCAATTAAATTTGATGGTGACGGTTTGTGGACTGCAGTCTTCAAGTCACTCCACAGATTTTCAGTGAGGTTTAAGTCTGGGCTCTGACTGGGCCATGCAAGGACATTCTTTTTCTCCTTTTAAATTTTAGTCTGCCTCAGAATCTTCAAGGTGCGTTTTGGCAAAGTCCTGCAACCGCTTCAGAGTTGCTGTAGGCCTCTTGGTTGCCTCTCTGACCAGTTTCCTCCTGGCTCTTTCATCCAGTTTGGAGCGACACTCTACTAACTTTGCACATCTAGACTTTGCAATATTTGCCCACTCTTCTTTGCAGAACTGCTCAAGTTCAATTAAATTTGATGGTGACGGTTTGTGGACTGCAGTCTTCAAGTCACTCCACAGATTTTCAGTGAGGTTTAAGTCTGGGCTCTGACTGGGCCATGCAAGGACATTCTTTTTCTCCTTTTAAATTTTAGTCTGCCTCAGAATCTTCAAGGTGCGTTTTGGCAAAGTCCTGCAACCTCTTCAGAGTTGCTGTAGGCCTCTTGGTTGCCTCTCTGACCAGTTTCCTCCTGGCTCTTTCATCCAGTTTGGAGCGACATCCTGATCCAGGGAGGGTCTGTGTTGTACCAAATACCTCCCACTTCTTAATAATAGACTTCACTGTGCTTCTAGGCATTGATAAAGCCTTTGACATTTTTGTATCCATCTCCTGACTTGTGCCTGTCCACAATTTTTTCCCAGAGATCTTCTGACAGTTCCTTTCCACCCATAGTTGGGGGCAGTCGTGACCTAATGGATAGAGAGTCAGACTTGTAACCCAAAGGTCGTGGAACCGAACCCCCAACTCCTCCCCGGGCGCCGCAGCATTGGCTGCCCACTGCTCCGGGTGTGTGTTCACAGTGTGTGTGTGTGTGTGTGTGTTC